GTGCCCAAGATCCTGAGAGGAGAATGGAGGAGAAGGGATTGCGCCGTGACCACCCCCCCCCGGGGGGGAGGTGATTTCTCACTGTCTCTATGTCTGTCTGTCTGGCGAGCGCATATGCCCTATAGCAAAAAAAAAAACTCTCCAAAAAAAAAAAAAGGAAAAATAAATTTCTAAAAATGTCATACTTAAAAGACTGCATACAGTAAGGAATTGAGCAACTACCTGGACAGTTTAAAGAGTAAAGGTAGTATGGGGAATGAAAAGGAATACAAGAGAGTGGCTAAAAGTAGGGCTGTGGGGTTCAAATTCCAGTTCCCTCACCCCTTATCAGCCATGTGACCTTGCAGAGCAATTTGGGCTTCCCAGTTTCATCTGTAAAATGCAATGATTAATAATAATAATACCTACTTCATAGGCTTGTTGAAAAGCTAACTGAGCTAACCTATCTAATGCCTGGTAGGTACATAATGAGGGCTCAGTAATTTTAGTTGTCACTGTCTTTATTTCAAGTCCCTCAGAATCTCCTTCCCCTCACCATGTCCAATGTTGGCATGTTTGCCTAGTGCCTTCTCTTCTAAAGTGTCCTCATTCTTTCGAGGGCAGGCTGGGTGTACATGGCCAGCTCTAGACTTCACCTATTTAACTGTTTTGTGTTGTTTTGTTTTTGCCATCAACAGGAAACTACAAACAAATCTCAGAACAATGTCCCAGAACAGTCTCTCCCAGTCAATTGTGTTTCTGAACTGAGGAAGAGGAGCCCATCTATTGTAACTTCCAACCAAGGAAGGGTGCTACAGAAAGCCAAGGTACCGGGCCAGCAAGTGACATGGAGGTTAAGGCAGTTGGTTAAGGACCATACGGCCAACTGCACATGTGGTTTGAGTCCCAGATCAGCAGCCTAAAACTCATACATGGCGTGTGTGTGTGCATGCCCAAAATTCCAAGAATATAATGAAGGAGAAGCGATTGTGGTGTGGTCATACCCCTATCCTCTCTCTCTCTCTCTCTTTTTCTCCAGTGAACACACAACCTATAGCAAACTAAAAAGAGAGAGAGAGAGAGAGCTAAGGTAGGTATAGAGATAGTTCAGCTAATCAAAAGTCAGATACCCAGCATTGCTTTTCATATAGAACCTCATCAGAAACCCAAAAATCAGCAAGTGAGAAAGACAGAGAACTGCCAACACATTCATGTAGGAAAACTCATGAACTTTTCTCAGAGGGGATGATCCTCAGATCTCATTCAGAACCCATTCACTCTTGTTAACACAGACAGGAGCCACAGACAATGTGGAAACAAATGAGGAACTTGGGTGCTCTCAATAAAATAGTATTTATGAGCACTAAAATTTAAATTTTGTATAATTCTCACATATGGTGAGATATTTTTCTTTTGAATTTTTTTCAAACATTTAAAACTATGAAAATAATTTTTAGCTGATGGGTTATACAAAAATAGGCAATAGACCAGATTTGGCCCATGAGCAGTCTGTAGTTTACTGGTCCTTTATCTAAAACCTTGCAGGCCACTGAAAGAACTATGGAATTTGTTCTAACATAATGGAAAGCACTAGAAAGTCTTTGCTTTTTTCTTTTTTCTTTTTCTTTTTCTTTTTCCTTTTTGGAGAGGTTTTTGCTATAGGGCATGTGTGCTTGGCAGAGAGACAGAAAGTGAGAAATCACCCCCCCAGGGGGATGGCCACAATCCCTTCTCTTCCATTCTCCTCTCTCAGGATCTCGGGCATGTATGCACACATGCCCAACATGAGTTTAAGCCACCAGGTCCAGGACTTGAACTTTGGTTGACTACATGGGAGTCCAGCAGCATAGCCATTACACCCACCACTAGAAAGTTTAAGTCAAGGTTTTAGATATGAATTTTAATATATGAATTTTTTAAGGGTTTTTGGGGGTGTTTTTTTGCCATAGGGCACATGTGCTTGCCAGACATAGGGAAAATGAGAAATCACCCCCAGAGGCATAGCCATCCTTTCTTCTCCATCCTTCTCCTGGGGTTTTGAGCAGAAATGTACATGTGCATGGCCTGATTTTCAACCCACCAGGTCCAAGACTCAAACCATGGTCAGCTACGTGGAAATCTAGCACCTTAACCACCGTACCACCTGCTGGCCCCAGAACTATATATATTAAGTTTATTTACTTCCTCCATGAGTGTGATAGAGAGACAGAGAGAGATAGCACCCCTAACAGGATCATGACACCACTATCCACCCTCAGCTCATGGACACGCATGTGTCCAATGTACTGAGGTCTCCAGAGCTGAACTGGGAACCTTCCCATGTGTGATTGCCTCACAAAACATCACATTTTATTCCTGCACCACCATCTGGCCATAGGCTATGAATCCTTTTTTTTTTTTTTTTTTTTAACTATTCTGGGCCAAACTGTAGTGGCATGAGCTGCATGAGTGCTTCATATGCTGGGAACACACAGGAGGCCTGGTTTCAATTCCTGGTCAAGCCTAAAGACTAGATGTGAGGGCATGTACCTCTAATCCCAGAGACTCCGAAGGTTGATGTAGGAGGATCATGAGCTCAGGGTTGGCCTGGGCAACACAAGGGAGATCCTGTCTATAAAAGATCCAGGCATGGAGGCACCCACTTGTAGTTCCAATTGAGAGGCTAAAGCAGAGGATCATGACATGGCAAAACCTTGACTTAAAAAAATAAAATAAAATAAACTGTTCTGGCTACTATCTTGAGAATGAACACAGACAAGAGATCAGCATAAAGTGATGTAGGGACACAGAAAGAGAGGACTAGAACCCAAGGTTCTCTAACCTGGCCAGTGGAAAGCTTATACAATTAGGTGCCATGAAACATTCTCATCCTACAAGTCACACTGAAACATTCAACAAACTGCTCTTTCTTATCTTTCTGTGCTTCAGGAATGGGAAATGAAGAAGACCTAAGAAGAGAAAGAGGATTTCAGTCCAAAGGGAGTATCAGTTTGTCCATCTAAGGCTGAAATGCTTTTTTCACAAAGAGATGCCAAGAGAAGAATGGAAGTCTCTGCTCTGTGGGATACCCAAAAGACCAGTCTTTATTGTCTGCATGATTTTAGGGAATATGGGGAGGGATGAGTAGAAGAGAAGAGGGAAATGGTGGGCATCTTGGGACTTTACAAAGGATGGAAATGGGGGAGGGAGACAGAAATCTGCACAGTTGTAAAGCTTTTGTTAGATGTCTTTGCCTTTGATACTGAAGAAGAAAGGGAAGCACATGTGAATAAGCCATTCCATCCACTCTCCACATCTCATTCCTCGTCCTTGGGCAAAGAAAGGCAGTGATGAGCACTGGTGGTATAGTTTAAAGAGATGAGATTTGATCATCTGATCACACTCGTGCCAGCTGGGTTCATGCTGGACATTACTGACAACCTCTGGGCAAGGCAAATAGGCTGAAAAGTCGATAATATTATTCCTACCTACATAAAGGTGAACAAAAGCTATAGAGAACATGCAAATTCTACAATCATCCCTCATCTACTTTAGAAGTAAACAGATTGTACTTATTGGAATCTTCCAGATTTGAGGATTTTAAAATCAGAGATCTGAGTATGAAGGCAAAAAGAGGTTGAGCAGCTGACATATTTTAAGCCCACAGTGATACTCAGTAGCCAGGAGCATGGAGTTCTAATGTCCACACAGGATGTCATTTGCCATCAATCACGTCTTTGGCCTGTTTTATATAACACTGAGGCTACTGGGGCTATGCTTAGGAATCCAGGAGACACTACGTCTTTACCCTAATGAAACCTTCGTCTTGCACTTGGAGGCCCACTAGTCTGCCCTTCTATGTTTGCTATAAAGTAAGACTATCAGGAAAAACCAAGACGACGGCTTATTCTGCCACATGGGTGCCAAGCCTTTTACAAATACTTGATACTTTTATAGGGGAAGCAAGGGCCTCAAGTCCCAGGCAGACTCCTTATTGTGTTATTCACTAATGCCTCAGAGCTTTATGGGTATGTCTGTAACACATTTCCCTCCAGTAAAGATAAAACCCATTTAAGAGCTCAGATGTTTAGCTCAAGAGGAGAGAAGGGAAATGGTGAGCATCCTTAGCACTTTACGAAGGATAAAAATGGGGGAGGGAGAAAAAAATCTGCACAGTGCAAAGCTCTTGTTAGATGTCTGCCTTCACTTCTGAAAAAGAAATGATAGCACATGTGAAAAAGCCATTCCACCTACTCTTCCTCGTCCTTAAGGCAAAGGAAGGCAGTGCTGTGCTCTCCTGGTGCAGTGTCACAGAATAACATTTGGGCAACTTGCTAGAGGTACATGTTTTACCCTACCTAAGGCTTTACATACTTAAGCCTAACTCAAACTTTACACCCTCTGTGGAAGTGGGAGACCACGGCCAAGAAAAATAACCTGACCGAAATCACCCAGTTGATCAGTGGTAGACAATAGGACTTAGAGGTTATGAGCGTGGATCCAAATAAGGATGGATTTGATATCTAATCTGTAGCTGACCAGCTGGGTAGCCTTCCAAAAGTCATTTGACTTCTCTGATTCTTGCTTTCCTTATCTGTGAAAACGGTTAACAACTGTACTTTCCTCCCAAGACTTGGGGGTGGGGGGCTGCAGGATTTAACCAGCTAATACGTGAAAATCTTCTTGTATAGTGTCTGAGAAATATCAAATGTTCAGCCAACAGTGATTGTTACCATTAGTTAGATAAGAAATGTCTTACCCAAAAGTCTATGTTCTTTCCACTGAAAAAGAAATTATTTTTACTTAGTACAGTCACTATAAGCTAAAAGTAGTAACCAATCCATAAATGGCTTTTATCCAAATTCTACCTGTCTTTGGTGACAGATAGGCTCACATACTCTGGATCTTTTTTTTTTTTTTTTTTTTTTTCTTCCTTAAATGAGACCCAGCACTCCAACGGTGTCCTCAATCTCTCTCCCATTCTCCAATTAATAATTAACATTTATTGATCACTTGCTATGTATCAAGTGCTGTTAGCCAGGACCAGCTTCATGGGCATGTAACCTGTGCAGTCACACAGGGCAACAGTTAGAAAGACCCCATGCTGGACTTAATGCTCTACTGTTACCTTCCTAGTAATTCTTGGAAAAGGGTTCTGCATCTCCCTTTTGTGCTTTAAACAGGCCACTTGACTTGAAGAAGCCAAGTAGTCACTTTATCAGGCATCATCCCTTTAGACTTCACTAGAACCCTGTCAGACAGGTTATACTATTCCAGTTTTCACAGTACAGAAAATGAAGCCCAGAGAAGATAGGTAACTTGTCAAACTCACAGTTAGGAAATAGTGTAGCCAGCACTTGAGTACTTAAGTTCAACCCTAGAGCCTTTCCTCTTAATTCCAAAGCTCTATTACACCCATGTATGCCTCCCTGCTTGTGCTTCAGCATTCACAAGCACATGAGTAATTAAACAGAAGAATGAATGATGCATGTTTGCAGCACACTTGGTGTAAGTTGGGCAGCTAAAAAGAATGTAAGCAGAATGGCTGAAGCATGGATGCCAGTTCTTGTTTTAAAAGATGTCTTGTTTGATGTGTTTTCTCAACATAGAGACCATAGGTCTGAGGTGGACTTGAAGTTCCATCCTACTCAACACTGACAAGCGTTTAGTCAGAATTCTAGTCTCACTGGATCCTCAATGGGACTTTGCTCAGGTTCAACAATCTCTCTGACACTCAATTTTCTCATATGTAAAAAGGGGCTTGGAATCTCCCCAAATCATGTTGCTCTTCTCATAGGGACAGTAGAAAACAGAAGGTGTGGGTTATAATATATTTGAGCTACGGATATATCTTTATATCCCTCAAGTGGGAATATAAAGATACAAGACTCCAGTTCTGTCCTCCTGGAACTCACAGACAACCAGGAGAGAAAATCTTATTCAAATACCATAGGGTTATCCAGTACCTAAGCTGAAACTACAAACATTGGGGCCAGGAGGTGGTATGGTGGTTAAGGGCGCTGGACTCCCAACTGGCCAACTGCAGTTCAAGACCCGGACCTGGCGGCTTTCTCTCTCTCTCTCATCAAAATAAAATAATAAAATAAAATAAAGTTAAATAATTTTAAAAAAACAGAAACTCTAAACATCAAGCACCCTGGACCCAGGTCACCAGTCCATCTTCACATCCTGTCAAGCCTTCCATCTTTGAAATTCATCCACAGCTTGCCATCTTCACTGACACCATCCAACTTCATTAATTCATTCAATAAACAGAGATATAAGAAATCAGCTGTGAACAAGACAGATACTTCATGAAACTCAAACTAATGGGGTGGGGGTGGGAGCCCAAAAGAAACAAAACAAATAAATTACTAGGAAGCAAAAAGGATGCTGAGCACAGCTACTTTAGATAGGGTGGTTACAAGTATCTTTCTGTTGAAATAATTTCAAGACAGAACACAGCCTTCTCACCTAAATTATTAAAACAGCTTATCATCTCTGTTTTCTTTTTTTACATCCTGTGGTCTCCTCCATAAAGTCAAAGTGACTCTTTAAACATATAAAGGCTTGGGGCCAGCAGGTAGCATAGTGGTTAAGGTACTAGTCTCACACATGGCAGGCTGTGGTTCAAGTCCCAAATCTGGCAGCTTAAAAATCATGCCAGGTGCCTGTGTGTGCATGTCCAAAATCTTAGAATGGTGAAGGGACTGCAACATGGCTATCCCCTCTGGAGGGTGATTTCTCACTTTTCCTCTCACTCTCTGTCTCCAGCAAACACATGGACTCCATGAAAAAACCTTAAAATAAATAAATAAATAAATAAAGGCTTGTCCATGTGCTCCCATCACAAAATAAAGTTAGTATATTTAGCACAAATACTAAATATCTGTATTAGGGCACAGTTCATTAAAAATGAGCAGAGGGGACCAGCAGTTAGCGTAATGGCTATGTCGTTGGACTCCCACGTAGTCGACTGCGGTTCGAGGCCTGGACCCGGTGGCTTAATATTCACGCCAGGCACGTGTGCGTGCGTGCCCAAGATCCCGAGAGGAGAATGGAGGTGAAGGGACTGCAGCGTGGCCATCCCCCCTGGGGGATGATTTCTTGCTTTCTGTCTCTCTGTCTCTCTCTGTCTGTCTGGTGAGCTCATGTGCCCTATAGCAAAAACCTCTACAAAAAAAAAAAGAGATGAACAAAATTGATATACCATTAGCTAGATTAATTAAGAAGAAGTCGACTGTGGTTTGAAAATGGCTTGAAAATCATGCCATAGGTGCAGGTGTGTGCGTGCCCAAGATCCTGAGAGGAGAATGGAAGAGAAGGGACTGCACCGCCTGGGTGGTAATTTCTCACTTTCCCTCTCTCTGTATCTGTCTGTCTGTCTGTCTCTCTCCAGTGAATACACATACCACATGGCAAAAATCTAAAAAGAAAAAATAAAAAAAAGAACAGACAACAGGGCTAGCAGGTGGCACAGTGGTTAAGGCACTGATTTCCACATGGCCGACCACAGTTTGAGTCCCAGATCCTACAGCTTGAAACTCATGCTGAGCATGTGTGCATGTGTGCCCAGGATCCCAGGAGGAGAATGGTGAAGGAATTGTGGTGTGGCCATCCCACAGGGGGTGATTTCTCACTTCCCCTCTAACTGTCTCTCTCACTCTCTGTGGTGACTGTACATACCCTACGGCAGAAACCTAAAAAAAATAAAATAAAAAAAAGAACAGACAAAAATATCTCTGCCCTAACAAAGCTTATATTTAAGTTAGGGGAAACAAGATCATTAAAAAACAAGTAGGGACAGTCTGCTCTGCTCCAGTGCCTTCACTCATCATGTTATGTACTAGCAAGAAGATCCTTACCAGGTGCAGCCCCTGAGTCTTGGACCTCCAAACAGCAAGCTGAATAAAACTATTTTTATAAATTACCTGGATTCAGGTAATTCTGTTATTAACAACAGACTGTAATAGAACAAAACAGACTAAGACAAGGACCTAAGAGGAATTTTTTTAAGTTTTTTTTCCATAAAGCACATGCATACCTGAGGGAGAGACAATGAGAGGGTAGGTGAGAAATCACCCCCCAGGGCGGGTATGGCCACACTTCATCCCTTCTCCTCCATTTTCCTCCTGGGATTTTGGGCATGCATGCACACATATCTGGCCTGAGTTTCAAGCCTCCAGGTCCCTGACTCAAACAGGTCAGCCATGTGGGAGCCCAGAGCCTTAACCACTACACCACCTACTGGTGCCCAAGTGCAATTATTTTGGTAAGTAGCCTAAGGATGGAGGATAAGGACTCTCATCCCCATCAAAGAATAAACTTCAACAGATGGCTGGTGACCTTTTGCTCACTAGAGTTTCAGGTAAAGACAATAGAATTTGAGAAATGACAAAATGAGACAGGCTGGCTAGACCTAGGGAGGACATTAACAGAACACAGAAAAACGTTACAGGTGATTTTTATGAAATTTCTCCTTGTGGCATATAATATAATGTGTCTTCCCTCCAAAATGTTAGTAAAATCTGCATCTTACTAAGAAAAAAATAAAAAGAAAGGAACCAGCAGTTAGCGTAATGGCTATGTCATGTCGCTGGACTACCACGTAGTCGACCGCGGTTCGCATCCAGGACCCGGTGGCTTGAAACCGACACTGTGCGCATGTGTGTGCGTGCCCAAGATCCCAAGAGGAGAACGGAGGAGAAGGGATTGCGGCATGGCCATCCCCCTTGTGGGGTGATTTCTCGCTTTCTGTCTCTCTGTTTCTGTCTGTCTGGCGAGCGCACGTGCCCTATAGTGAAAAACCTCTTAAAAAAAGAAAGAAAGAAAAGAAAAAAAGAAAAAGAAAAAAGTCTGAAAATAAGGGCACTGGACGAAAAGGCAGGGAAGAATGATGAGAAAGTTCTGGCAGCAATTTTTCAAATCGCTCGCATGATTTGGCCCTATCTGCTCCAACTACTAATCCCAAATTCCCACCTACATCTCTGTATTTCAGTCCCTCGCAACACTCTTCCTTCGTGACTGGGCCTTTGCAGATGGGTCTCCAAGACCAAGCCACCTTCCTTTCAGCTATTAATTCTTCCGCTCTCAACTCAAATACCACTTCCTGAGGAAAACTTCGTCCACTCGGCCATATCTGTATTCTAGTCGTCTGCACCACTATGCGCCTCACCTTTAAACACCAATAATATTTTGATTTTATGTAGCGCCTGTATTTATCGTTTATAACTTCACTTCACGTGAGTACAGCCGTGGCCCGCTTCATTCACCGCGGACCCGGCGCCTGGCACCTGACTCCACGTAGAGCGGACCGGTCCTACCGTCAAACCGAGCACTGGGCGTGCTGCGTTCCGACCAGAAGGCCGGATAGACAACAGTGCGGCACACAGGGCAGTTGTTGCGTTCCAGTCCAGTCCGGAAGCCCAGAGAGAGAAGCGCGCGCTAAGGCTGCCGGGAGGCGTGGTTTTCAAGTGAGCGCGTCACTTCACTAGGAGCAAGTGCGCATGCGTCACCGCGGGCCGCGCAGGTTGAGAACATGGCCGCCAGGTCTCTGTGGGCGGTCCGGTGGCGAGTGCGGCGCCTCCTGGCCCCAAGTGCCGCGTCCGATAGCAGGTAAGCGTTGCAGGCAACAGATCAGGGAGTGAGGACGATGCAGGACGAGCGAGCTGGCGAGGCAGTTGTGGGCTGGAGGGCGAGGGTAATCCTGGAACAGAACCCATCAAGCCTTTCGGCTGTGCGACCGTGCTCTCGTGTCTCCATTTTACAGAAGAGAGAAATTGAGGCACACAGCCGGTCCTCTTTCCCAGGCCTGGAAAGTGGGAAGACCCGACGTCATGCGTGTCCTGGGAGATGGAAAGACCCGACGCCATGCATGTCATGGGAGATGGGAAGCCCCTTGAGCCCCAAACATCCATTGAATTGGGATGTACCGCTCTCCCTACCCCTTCTCTCCCTGTGTGGTGTCTGCGGGTAAATTTGAATTCTCTCTCATGACTATGACCTTAGACTGATTACTTCCCTTTCATTCGGCATCATTTTACCTGTAGATTAGAAGAGGATATTGGATATGGTTTCTCCAAACGGCCTTTCCATCTGCTTTTGGGAGAGCGAAGTTCCAGTTGCTGCTTTTATCCATTGGCAGCTTTTATTGATCGCTTGTCATGTTAGCTGCAGAGCATTGAGTAGTTCTTTTTATTAGCCATTGTTTGATAATTGAGGAAACAGATTTAGAAAAGTAAATGCTTTTCCAAACTTAAAAACTTAGGAAGTAGTGGAACCGGGGCTGGAACCAGGCAGGGTGCTAGAACAGGCACTTTCATTTAGTGAGCAGTGTTAATTATTCTCAAGGACTGTTCCCCAGAGATGCATTTCTTTCAGGGACAGAGAATTAAAAGAGGAGAAGGCAGGGTTGGGCCTTCAAATTGTAGATTAAACAATAGAGGAATCTGGGAAATTTCCATAACTATTTGTCACCTGTGTGTGTGTGACCTTTTTAATCTTACCACACCTGACCCAACACCCTACCCTGACACTTAGGTGAGAAATTGAACTCAGGGTTTTGGGGGTTTTTTGTTGATACTGTTTTATTTTCAAGTCTTTTTGGCAGTTTGTTGGTGAAATATAGAAATTACCAAAAGGAAAATGGTTCCTTCTGATAAAATGTCCCCGCACTCCAGTTCTGAAGTCATCAGAATTGGGAGCCACCACAGATCTCTTTCATGATCTGAGCTCTGGCCATTTTCCCTTTAAACTGACCCTGAGAATACTTTGACCTGCTTGCAGTTGGATAAGTGTGGATTCTCTAGGGAGAAGGAGGTATTTTACCCTGTGTGATCTGCCCCATATCTATAGTGACCATATTTTCTGGACCAAAAATCTGGAACCATTTATAATCATACACCAGATCATAATGAAATTCAAAACTGAACTAGAAAGCTTGGGAGATAAAAATCCTCTTACCCCACACCTTTCAACTAGCTATTTCTTTGCCCAGAATGCTCTTCTCTTTCTTCATGCAAAGCCTTGCTCAGATGTCACCTCAGGGACCACTTCCCAATGTATGCCAGTTTATATAAATAATTTGTTTTAAATAGCTCTTATACGCACAGATTGCTTTTCTTAGTCATTTTACTTGAAATCAAATGTTGAGGATCCAGGAGGTATAATGAAAACTTGAACCCAGACCTGGTATATAAAATTAGGCCTTCATCTAAATTTTCCCCGGTATACTCTTCCTTTGCAAAATGGTACATTTAGCTGTATAAAATTGTAGATTACATAGCTAGTTGAATACGGGGATCTGTTTTGTTCACCTATTTATAGTCTACAGTCTGTAACATAGAGGGTTTTATAAGTATTTCATTGACTTGATTTACATGTAGGTATGTTCCCAACTTGGAATTTCTCTTTCTAAGCACACATTTTCTCCTCTAAAAGCCACCTAGCTCATGATCAAGTAGGCTTAGAATTCTAAGCCTAATACCAATATGATAAGATTTCTTTACTGGATTTAATTTTCCCCGTCTGTAAGATGAAGGGTTAAACCAGAGCTGTATGACTTTGTGTTGTTTAATTCCCACTTCTGACTGCCCCCCTGACTTTGGGTGTCAGCAGTTGGTCTCCCTTGCTGACTTTTGTTTACCTGCTTCTGGTTCTGCTGCCTGGTGCTCAGGGTCCTGGCTCAACAGAATACAAGCTGCGTGATCTTGAGCAAATCGTTGAAGCTTTTAGCTTCTCGGTGTCAGTTTTCTCATTGGTAAAGTAAGAACGATAATAGCATTTGCTTCACATGCTGTGGGATGAAAAGCTGATTCAGATAAAACCCTACCAGCAGTGTGTGGTAGCTAATAAAGACTTCATAAGTGTTCATTTGTGACTGTAACTGAAAATGCATTTTCTAGAGGTTCAATCTGAGAAACGTTCTGGTCTCTAAACTTCTGTTGCAATTCTGGCCTTTTATGATGGCGTTTCATTATGTGCAACTGCCCTCCTATTTTAGGGTATGGCTGTATCTATTCAGCACTGCCACCCAGAGAACTGCTGGCGAGGACTGCAGCTCTGAGGAGCCTCCCGAAGAGCTCGGGCCCTCTCTTGCTGAAAGAACCTTACGGCTAAAAGCTGTTAAACTGGAGAAGGAAGTTCAAGATTTAACAGTGAGTAGGTTTTATACTATCTCTCCTAAGCATCCTCTCTGGTTTACATACCCAAGTAAAGTTTTTTATCTCAATTTTCTTAAATGAATTTTCCTCTAATTGACTCTCTATCCACCCCTTATCCCTCCTCCCTTCTCCTGACTAAATGACTAGCTATCAGGGCTGCTATAGAGTAGTTCCTTCTTTGGCCAGGCATACTAAAAAAGTATACTAAAAAAGTATCTGCTAGCGAAGACGAGCCACTGGCTAAGGATGGTCCTCCTTTCAGCTCCCTGTTGTGTCACAGCACTGAGCTGTCTGACATTTTGGGCACTTTAAAGGCGGTACAGTACCTGGTGTGCAGTAAACACTCAAGTGTCTGTTGAACGAGTGAGGTCATTGACCATTATAGTCTGCTGATCGGACCACATCTGGCCAGTCCTGGTCGACAGGCGCAATTTGAGGAAAATGGTTAAACTAGAGTAATTCTAAAGCAAGACCACTTCAAATGGTAAGGAGACTGTCTTATGAGTACAGTTGAAGGAATCAAGAATTGTAAAAATGAAAAAGAACTAAAAAGGCGAAAATAGATGGCACACTTTGAAAGCTTTCTCTCAGTTATCCTAGAATTCAGTTCAATACAAGAAAGTTGGAGATGGATAGTGGCAGCTGAGGACGAAAAAACAGCTTTTTCTCAGGATAATGGGCTTGAAAACTGTTAATGCCCAGCTATCAGGGCTCCTAAAGAGTAGGTTCCTACTTTGGCTGGGGATTTAGAGTAGCTGGTCTCAGATTTCTGCACAACTCTTATCACCAGAGTGAAATGTGTGAGGTAAGCATACACATTCTTTTCACTGATAAGCATTCATTTTCTCATTGTTTTGACTTTGCTTTTGATGTTCAGATGAGGTACCAGAGAGCTGTAGCTGATTGTGAGAACATACGAAGACGAACCCAGAGATGTGTGGAAGATGCCAAAATATTTGGTGAGAGTTTCATTCACAGTAAAAATGTCTTCCTATTTAAGGCTCCAGTTCTGCAAACTGAACATAGTAAAGCACATCTGAGTACGTAACAGATCCCTCCTGTCACCTTCCACTATTCTATTATATGCCACTAAACTTTGGGCCTCTTATCTGGAGTGTGTCAAGTCAGCCATTTGCTAAAAAGACACAGCTCTTTATTTTGACCAGACCTTTATTTATTTTGTTTTCAAGCATGTACAGTCACTCCAGGTAACATTCTAGGGCTTGCATCAGCAGTTCCATTTAGCTCATTAATAGACAGAAGTGACCATTACGATATTCAGAGGAGAGTCCATAACACAGATACATAGGCAGTCAGGATGCTGAAATGTGCTTAATGGAAGCAAAATTGGTCTGTATCTATAGGGCAGTAATAATCTGCACCTCCACCAGACAATTTTCATTCCTGTGGGCAAGATCGTTTGCATTACACTCAGTATGCTACAGCTTACTGAGTTGGGTGGAGGTGGTTATCAGTGTTGATCTCTACGTCCTGTGAGACAACATTCCCATCTTCTGTGGTCCCCTATAGTAGCCACCTACCTGCGTCTTCCCCAAACTCTACCCCCAAGGACAGTATGATTTCCTCAGATAGAAGTGTCTTGTTTCTCTGTAGGAGTGCAGAGTTTATGTAAGGACTTGGTGGAGGTGGCAGACATTTTGGAGAAGACTACAGGGTGCATTTCTGAAGAAACAGAGCCTCGGGACCAGAAGCTTACTTTGGAGAAGGTCTTCCAAGGGTTGTCACTTTTAGAAGCAAAGCTGAAAAGTGTATTTGCCAAGCATGGCCTGGAGAAGATAACTCCCATCGGTGACAAATATGACCCTCATGAGCATGAACTCATCTGTCACGTGCCAGCTGGCGTCGGGGTGCAGCCAGGCACCGTGGCATTAGTAAAACAAGATGGCTACAAACTTCATGGCCGCACCAATAGACTTGCCCGGGTGGAAGTGGCAGGGGAGTCTCACAGAAGACTGTGAACGGGCCATCGGGAACCAGATGTTCTCCCAGAGTGCAGTCACCTGTGTTTCCTTTATTTATTAAACTAGGTTTGTATTGTACATGAGGTACTTCATGTGATCTGTTTTGGATTTAGTCATATTGGCTTTATTTCTAAGATAGCATATTGATTTAATGTGACCTATTTGGTCTCATCAGAAGTCTTGCCACTTGGCATTTGAACAATGTGACAAATGTTCTGTGGCCTTGATCAAAATATGTTTACAAAAATTATTTTTAAATTGGTACTCTGATGACTTAAGAATCCAAAATCCTTTTAGCTATGTGTTTTCAACTAAATGTTCTTTTTCAATCGTCCTTATAACAAGACTTGTATAGCATCTTGTGTTTTTTGTGGAACAGGAAACGGTAGGGTTTGGTTTAACATTTAGGAATTTAGTCGATAAAAGCTTAATAGTTGTGTGAGTTTAGATTATTTGGATTGTTTTGTATACACTTGGATTTCCAGGACTTTTTGGTTTTGGTATTTTCTTTGTAGTCATCTTTTGTTATTACTGTCCCAGCTAAGTAGGCTTCACGTTCTCCTGCCATCTCCACCCCTTTCCAGTTCCCAGCTACAAAGGCTAAAATCCCAGATGAGACCTGAAAGGCAGGGAGCATCCAGAAATTCAAGATACCCAGGTTTATTTCAAACAAGGATGACCAAGAGACCTTGTGCTGTCTTAGCTCTGAGTTGTCTTCAACTTATTTTCAGACTCCCAGGTATAGAATGATTTCTGGTGAAGTGAAGCAGCACTAGCAGTTAATGACTCACCTGGGTCTGTATGGTAATTTATTATGATTCTCATTCCAGCAACGCTGACTTCTGTACTTTGTGTGTAATTTTCATTATGATCCTTTATTAGATTATAGGAGGGAGAAGAGTGTGATGAGGACAAATGTTAGGTTGCCATGATTTCCCATTTTATTTCATTATACTCAAGCGTTTTTCTTTTTTTTCCTGTTTAATTGGTACTCACAAATCACTACCTCTTTTACATGGACAAGCTTTATTTTCTAGTTTTTGTTGTCTGTCTTAAGTCACATTTGTTTAAACATCCACTCTCCTTTTATGTATTACTCTCTTAGAGTTGATGAATATGTGGGGTTTTTTTTTTTCAGCTTTACTTACCTGATTTTCCCTAAAGAATTTGTCCAATAAATACTAATGAATGAATGATACATCAGTCAGACTTTAGAAAGGTCAGTCAGAGATCAATTAAGGATATTTTATGGTTAGAAGAGACCTTAATGATTTAACCTCACACTTCTGCCTCTGAAGTATGAAAATCTGGCCTTTATAGGACTAGACCCAAAGGAAAAAAATATCTAGACAAGTAACTAAATGTCACTGAGAACTTGTCTAAAGAACAATAAGATACTGACTTTAATCATTTAGATTAATGGACATGCAAGTATGTCATACAGTCTGGGGGACTGATAGTTGTCCAAATTGCACAGGTTTGGGTTTAAGCATATTAAGATAAATTCACTGCCACAGGAACTCTGTGACCACGATCAGTGGGGTGGTAAAAGTTATCCTCTTTGACATTATAGATAATTCCAAGACACTGTACAGACATATCAGTACACAAGCCCAATCCTTGCACCCTACCATCTCCATCAGTTTTAGACACACAGAAGATTCCTTTCCAAATGCATTGAAAAGATTGTGATAACGATTGTAAAACCAGAACCTCTTTCACATTCCATTCTGTGGATAGTGTAAATTTAATGATTCAAATTTTACAATAGGAATATGTCTTTTTTACCTACAGTCCTATGAGATTGACAGATGATGACAAGAAAGTGAGCCAATAACAGTTATCCACGTGTGTTTTGGGATTACAGGCTATCATAATCAGCAAGTTAGAACTAACCATCATTTTAGGAACAGCGTGTTCTGATTGCCTGAGGTTTTTTAATATTCCATTCTACCTCTTGTTTTTGCAAGTAGATTGAGAATAACCTTAAGTTCTTTTATTATTCAGTTTTGCAGACTCAAAACTGTACACTTAGAATTAGAAAATGAATCTACAGTAGTAAGAATCTCAGTGGAAGGCTTCCGGGAACCAGAGAAGCACAATAGAGCCTAGGTTTGGTCGGCATAAATGTGGCATGACCCCAACTCAGTCACCTGGGAGACTTGGAGCAATCATCTCACTCTTCTGAGCCCTATTTTCGTATTTGTCAAATGGCTATAATAATTTCTCTCATGCGATCATGAGGGTTAAATAAAATGTATAAGTAGCCTACTACAGTAGGTCCTCATATTTATTTACTTTTTTTAAAGCACGTTGTTTTTCCTACATTTTTATAGCTGCCTAAAGTCTAGGGAAAGTGATGAAGTGGTTAAGTGATGATAAGAAGCTTGTAAGCTCATCATTCACAATGACTTATTTTCCTTCCAGTTTGTTTCTTTTTAACCATACTACAAAAAACTCACATTTTTTTAGACTGAAACAGCAAGAAAATCGTCAGTGCTCTTGGTTTCATCTTAACGGTAAAGTGTAAAGACATTGGCCCGCACATGATATTTAAGGAAACTTTGGCTCACTTGAAGGGGGGTCTTGGATTCCTCACATCTTTTACTGACTTCCCTTACTGCCATAAAGGAATCTATCACTTTGATATTGATGTAAATTATCTGGTGCTCTTATTCATGGCAAAGGATTTGATAAGTGAAGAAAGTGTCTTAAAATACTAAAGCAAAATCTAATTGTGAAAAATAAGGAAGAAATGTAATATTCAGAAAAAAACTTTAATAAAACCTGAATTGAAATAAGTGCATTAGTCTTTGTCTAATTCATATTGTATTTTGGTATATTGTCACTTCATGCACTGCTGATCCACCTTGTTTGCTTATTTTGGTGCAGAAAATTTGAAATCCATTTCCTGTTTTTTCATAATGTATTTTCCATGAACTTCTTGAAGACGTCGTATCTCTTAGATCTAGATTCTTGTCTCTGCCTTCCTTACATTGCCCCCTCCTCCCAAAATCGCATGTGCACGCCAGGGGAGGGGGAGAAAACACTCCCACTGGGGCATAGTCATACCACAGTCCTCTATTTTATCATCCTGTCAGAATTTGGGGCACATGTGTTTGCTCCTGGTGTTTTCAAGCTGCAAGGGCTGGAATTTGAATTGTGATTGGATATGTGGGATCCAGCTCCCTCAACCAGTAGGCTATGGGTCTGGCCTGGCATTATCTTATTTTCTTGTGTTTTCTTCTAAGTTCTAATTGCCTTTTCTGCTATGACTGCTGTACTTGTCCTGCTGGACTCAGGACTATCCTAACCCAATTACTGGCGAGTGGCCTTGTACTGACCCTCAGCTCCCGCAGGTCTTTACCAACTTCAAACTGCCTAGTCCTGTCTATCTCTGCTTCTCAGCTGACTGAATGGCCCTTTATGGAACCAGTTGTTCCTGTGATTTAGGCTTACGTTTTCATCCTTCTTCCAGTCCTGTGTCCATACACTGGTTCCATCATGCATTGCTTCCCAATGCTAGTTGATAAGTATATTATTCCTATCCACTCAAATGTCCATGCCCTTCAGTTCACTGTGGTGGTTTTACAACATGGCTCCAGGGCCAGCAGGTGGCATGGTAATTAAGTCAGCTGGACTCCCATATGGCTGACCAAAGACGTGTGAGTGTGCCAAAATCCCAGGAAGAAAATGTAGAAGGGATTATAACGTAGCCATCCCCCTGGGGGATTTCTCACTTTCCCTCTCAATGTCATGCTTTCCCTCTCATTGCCTCTCTCTGGCCAGTGTACGTGCCCTATGACAAAAAATCTTTAAAAAAAAAAAAATCCAAACTCCTTGAAATTTAGATTAAAGGGTAGCACATGTGTCTATTCTTTTTCATTCTGCTTGAGGCCAGTTTCTAGACCCAAAACTTAATGATTATTAATTGGCAGCCTCACTTCCTGTTTTAGGATCTAGCCCTTAGAACCTCACCCTCAGGCCAAGAGCAAGCCTGTGGATTGGAAATGAGGACCCTAGCTGAGCTTTTAGCATAGCCAACATCATCTTACCAGCCAGCAAGCCATCTTAACCATGGATTCTCCCACCCCTGGGGAAGCAGCCCCAAATAACAGCACATCAAACAAATGGGTGAATCTCACTAGGCCCTGCTCAAAATGCAGATTTGTGAGCAAAATAAATGATTAGTGTTTTCAGTTAATATATTTGAAATGGCTTGTTACACAGTAACAATAACTGATAAATTCACTCAGCCTCATTTGCAATCTTGCTGGTAGTTTGCACCTTGTATCAGAATTTGCTTCCTTGTTTTTCTCTTTGTCAGCTCTTTTGAACTGGTCATAACTTTGATGAGCTCACATATTGTCAGTGGGCTGTTAGGATATTCTAACTAATGAGTTACAAAGCACTAAAATTACAAGTACACACACACACAAAAAAAAAAATTTGGAAAGGTTTTTGCTATAGGGCATGTGTGCTCACCAGAAAGAGACAGACAGAAAGTGAGAAATCACCCCCCGGGAGGGATAACCACACCACAATCCCTTCCCCGTTCTCCTCAGGATCTTGGACATGCATGAACAGTTTAAGCCACTGGGTCCAGGACTCAAACCATGGTTGACTACATGGGAGTCCAGCAATGTAGCCATTATGCCATCTGCTGGTCCCACACCAAAAGAATTTTAAAGTTATGATTTACTATACAAAAAAAAAAAAAAGTCCGAATAAGTAAGCACATAAGAACTTGACACAAAATGATCAATGAATGTTTTAAAAAAAAAAATTTAAAGAATATCTTGGTTCTTTGGAAATGAATTTTGCATTCTGATATAAACATTGCTCAAAAAGATTAAAAAGCAGGTTAAGTTCGGCCCTATTGAGTTGGAATTGAATTAAGACTGACAGACTGACTTACAAACCCATCTTTAAATGCTCTTAGTTTTGAAGCCTTTATTCTCTTAGTGATAATCTGACTGAATACATGTTTTTTTCCTACCTATCCTGAAACTCACCATATTTTATTTTCTGCAAAGGGAAATCTTCACAGCATAGTAAACTAGCCACACTGAGCTGCTCCTGTTTAGATGATGAAAATAGCATTTTTTTAGTTTTTATTTTTTAATCATGGGATGTGTGCACTCACCAGAGACAGAGACAGTGAGAGGGAAAGTGAGAAATCAACCCCCAGTGGGGATGGCCATTCTGTAATCCCTTCTCCTCCATTCTTCTGGGATTTGGGGCATGCACACACGCACGCGCGCACACACACACACACACACACACACACACACACTTTGTGTGGTTTTCAAGCCGCTGGGGCCACTGAACTGTGGTAAGTCGTGTGGAGTCCAGCCAACTTAACCACACCATCTCCTGGCCCCAATTTATCCTTTCTTACCTTTTTTCCTTTCTGAAAGGTGGAAGGAACCTTTCTCTTTTGTTCTGGAATAAGTAGAAGGCAGAAATATTAACTTTGTAGAAACTGCAAACACATGAAAGCAGTGTGGGAATTATACAGCCTTGTTTCAGCATATAATAGGGTGATGTCTAGTCACTATAGTCACAAGTTTGGTCATCAATTCCATGCACTTGCATATTAGTGCCAAACTGTTTCACATCCCTTATCTCACGTGGCCGTCACACGATCATCTAGAAAGGTAGAGCATTGTTGAGTCTGCTTTATAAAAGAGGAAACTGAATCAGACAGAGAAGACTCATAACAGAGCTAGTGACTCCCAGAGGATGGACTTGAAACGAAGTCTTCAAAGGTTCATTTCACCCTTCATCCTTCTCCCCGCAGCTGGACTCTGGTCCTGATGCTGAGGACCAAAGGCGCCCACACCTGTGCTGGAGCAAATGAGCCAGCAGCCAATGAGGAACCCGCATCCTGGAGGCGGGACGAAGAAGTTGCCAATGGCAGTCCCTGCCCGGAGAGGGATGTAGTTAGCGAGAGATGTACTAGGGAGGGACGGCAGCTCGGCCAATGAGAGGCTGGGGCCTGCCAGACTGGAAGGAGGAACAGCCAGTGGGGCTCCTGGGCGGGGCGCAAAATCGGTGCGGGAATGACGCGGTGGGGTGCTGAGCCGGGGAGGGCAGGGCGGGAACC